TTAAAGGGTAATGAGCAGTCGGTCCAACTAGCAAATAATGCACTAACGCATACAGGAAGCAGCCTGAACGGAACTGATACTATCAACATTGAAGGTATGGGCTAGTGGATAATGACGAATCTCTTACACCATCACGATTGCATGACTTTGGAGTAAAACATAGTGAAGCACGTCAATGCCGCGTGCAAGGACGAGAGAAGAGACATTATAACCAAGCCCTTATGGGAACAATTAATAGAAATACTGTGGAGTGGCATCGGGAGGCCTGATGGGAAAGCCCAATGTGCAGTTGGTATATATAAATACTGTGGAGTGGCATAGGGGGGCCTGGTGTTAAAGCCCAATGTGCAGTTACGCTGACTGTAATAACATCATATAATACTCACGCTGGTGGCGAGGTGATATCAATCATAGGCGTGAGAGAAAGTTGAGGCCGTTGTGCTGTGTGTAAGGGGTTACTCCGTACCTCATCTCGGGCGCCAGTCGGCTCTTGGATGGTTTTACAGATCCTCACACAAGACTTCTGCTGCACGTTCACATCGTACGCAATAGATAAGGGCTCAACTTTGTCACCTGAACCTAGTTGGTAGTGGATGTCGGAGTTGGTGGCCTCTAGAGATGTTGTGTCCAACCTGGCTCACATCAGCCTACCCCCAACGCATGGGTAAGAACGTCTATCTCATTTAGAACATGGGTAAGGTCTATTGGTTGGAAAGACTACTAAATGACAAGCCTCGGTTGAAACGTCTGTCGAGCTGGCTGAACCACCGTACTGTTGAGATTTAGACACACACACACACACACACACACATACAAATGATTACCAGACGGATGTGAGATTAAGTTAAGCAGACATGTGCAGGACGTGACGATTCCTTGAGTGAGCTCAGGGCCAGAGCGTTATGTGTCGGCTCGACATTTATGGAAGCCTCTTTGAATTGCGGATAATGCCTTCCCCCGAGGGCCTACCTGTCTACGCGTGGATTTCCTGGACGGGGTCTCCAAGGGCAAGACTCGTACAAAAAGGGACCCCCCCCCCCCCCCCCCAAAAAAAAAAAAAAGAGAACACACAAAAAAGGCCTCAACATGTTCCTGTTCATGAAACAGTCCGGGAAGTTACACAGATTAACAAATGCTTGATGAAGTCGGATGTGTCAGCCAAAAGACAAAAATGTGGCAGCTTTGCTGTAAACATGCACAACGCATCTACGTCACTTGGACAAAGGAGGAGAAGAAGATACTTACACTATACTACAGTTTACTTCGTAACCGCTTTGTGGTGCCCGAATCTAACTGCGTCAGTAGCTATACGGTTGAACAGGGTTTCGTGGATTTGAATCTGATTCTCATCCTTGATATGTTAATCTTACTGGTTGCAATCATGGGGGGAAAAGGGGTTGGTGGTGAATATGAAAATGATCAAGCAGGAAAACCATTCTTGACGCATGCTTGAAATAAATGCAGCAAAAATTTCCCGGGGCCTCCACGAAAAAGGTGCCATTGTCTAAGGAATCAGTCTACATGCTAAGGAAGGTAAGGTGGAAATCTGTTCAGGGAACTCGAATCTCGTCTGTAGACGCTTTCTCTGGGTCTCTAAAGGACACATTCCGTAGCGCGTGAAAGGCTCAATTTATGTGAGGTCAAGCAGTCATGTGCTGTTTGTGGCGATTCTTTGGGTGAGCCCAGTACCAGAGGGTTTACGGAAGCCTTCTTGGTTGGCGAGTCCATGCTCGGCTCCTGTCTTTCCTTGAAGGTCGACCTAGCTGCACGCGACTGAAACAGTCTTCTCCGTCACTTGATGAACAAGGCTGTGACCCACCCCTGGATGGGTCCTATAGGACAACACATGTGGATCAAGGGATGACGAAGTCACCAGATATATGAGGCCACACGCTTCCCACAAAACCTTCACTCGACTAATTAGGAATCTGTCGTAATCACATTTGTGGGACGAAAGATATATATATATATATATATATATATATATATATATATATATATATATATATATATATATATATATATATATATATATATATATATATATATATATATATATATATCACAGCCTAGCTTCTTCTTCTTCTTCTTCTTCTTCTTCTTCTTCTTCTTCTTCTTCTTCTTCTGCGTTCGACATCAGTCATGCTTAACATTGAGTCCCGTCTGGGTCACAAATAGGATTGTGCGTTTAAGGTCGCCACCGGTCCCCCATAGCTTCTCTCGCAATGTGGATCCCTTGGGCCAGATCCACAGTCTTTGCTGGGAGAGGTTATGGCAGTACTGCAGTATGTGCTCAGGGGTCTGTCTTTCTGCTCCACAATCACAGGCAGCAGCTTCTGTTATGCCTGTCCTGTATAGGTGTGCTCGAAGACCACAGTGTCCTGTCCGAAGTCTAAAAATTGATGTTTGTTCTTTCCTGTTGAGTTTGTTTGTGCGGTCACTCTCTGGTCTGTAATCTCCATTCTGCCTTCTCCACTCCCGCATGAAAGACTGCTTTAGCTCTGTTTTGGTTTCCTTGTAGCTGTGTGGTGAAAAAGGTTGTGGAAGATTACTCCGAGTTTTGGTCAACTCATCTGCTCTCTCATTTCCTTGAATACCACAGTGGGCTGGTATCCACTGCAAGACCAATTCTGCTTCCTTGGAGAGTAAGCCAATGTTGGTCGTTAGATCTGCAATTAGTTTGTCTTGTTTTTTTGCTTGATAGTACTTGGAGAACAGACAACGAGTCACTAAGTAGGACACATTTGTGCCCTCTGCGTTCTTGAGTGATGAGATGTTGGACTGCAGAAAGGAGGGCAGTTGTCTCAGCTCTGAAGTAAATGCAGATGTCACCTGCTGGTAGAGAGAGAGAGAGAGAGAGAGAGAGAGAGAGAGAGAGAGAGAGAGAGAGAGAGAGAGAGAGAGAGAGAGAGAGAGAGAGAGAGATAGTTTCTGCTCTACTGCTAGGGGGTTTAATGTATATTCCACAGTTTCCCTTTCTGACTGCATCTGTAGCAGATACTTGGGATACTTCTCATCAAGCATAGCGAGAGCCAGGGTTCTCTGTTGTGTCTCCGTCTGGGCATCTTTTGAAGTGATCCCTGGTACCTTTAGCAAGCAATCCTTACTCGTGTTCCGAATGAGTTTTGATAGACTTTTGACCCATGCGTTTGGGGGCGGGCTGATGAGAGCCAGAAAGGACACTACACCTCTAGGGGCCGCCAGCTCCCAGATCTGCCAACCCTGTTAATGCTCATTTGAGACATTATCCGTGGCGCACGACGGGGACGTGCAGCAGGAGTCTTGCATGAGGTTCTGTAAAACCAGAACAGTGAAGGACTGGCGCCCGAGTGGGGTACGGAATATCTCCTTATACACATCACATCAGACTTAACTTTCCCTCATGCCTGTGACCGAAATCACCGAGCCACACTGCTCCAGTATATACTCAGGATTCTGGAGTTAGCGCCCCATGTGGTACCCGCTAATTTTTTCATCACTGCAAGCTTCTTGAATGCTTTCCCTGTATTGCTTCTACATGTGACTTTCAAGTTAGTCGCGAATGAAGTGTAACGTCAAGAAAGGTAGGAGTGTCAGTCTGTGGAATGAGCTGGTTTTTTATCCAGATTTCGATTTTTTTTTCTTTTTTGGGGGAGAGAGAGAAAAGTGATGCTGTGCTTTTTGAATGTAGCTTTAGACCCCACTTTTCGGACCAGGCTTCTAAATTTTCGACAGTTTTCTGTAACAGATGTGGTAGTGTATTCGGAGGCTGTCCAAACTGCAAAGTCATCGGCATATAGGGTATTAGAAACTTGCTGGTGGCAGGTTGCTGTGATATCATTTATGTAAACCAGGAACAGAGTTGGTGCTATTGCACTGCCCTAGGGACTCCTTCTCTTAGTTTTGCCAGTTTGCCGATGTGTCCATAAATTCTGAAATCTAGCTCTGCGTTGGAAAAGAAAGTCTTTGATCCACTTGTACATGTTGTGCACAACTCCTGCCTGTAGCAGTTTTAGTTGTAGGCCTTCTTTCCAACTGTATCGAAAGCACGAGAGAGAGGTCAAAGAAGACAGCAAGAACTTTTTTTTTTCTCCCTGGAAGGCATTCTCAATTTCCTGTGCCAGATATGTCAACTGGTCCTCTGTGTTTATGTGCTGTCTGTATCCTGTCTGTGTGGTGGTGATTACAGAGTTTGTCTCCAAGGACCACATTAGTCTTTTATTTACTAGTTTCTCCATCAATTTTCCTACACAACTAAGAAGGCTGATGGGTCTGTAGCTTTTTGGGTCTCTTCTGTCTCCACCCTTTTTAAGGATAGGCTGGATGAGGGCTTCCTTCCAGGCTGACTGTACTGTGCCTTTTTTTGCCAGCTCTGGTTGTAAGTGCAGAGGATACACTTCTCAAGATGAGAGAGAAATTCGTTTGTAATGCCGTCAGCCTCTGGGGCTTTCTTCATTTTCAACTCTCCAATTCCAACTTCCAGCTCTTGCATAGTAAACTTTTCTGACATGCAGGCCTCGGTTGTTTTTGTGCCAGAGTCTGCTAGAAGAGCCCTGGTCTGGTTTCTTTCTTCTTTTATTCTATGCATGGGAACATGAATCTCACTTTCCTTCTGGTGTGTTTCAGCTAGCACATCTGCTGCTCCTTGCCAGTAACTGCTCCATTGTCTGTTTGGAGTACAACTGGTTTTTTTCTGTCTTGTCTCCATTCAGGCTTTTTGTGAGAATCCACAGACGTGAAGTGTCCTTCTCGAGGTTAAATGACGACAGCCTAGCTGTAAACCACAACATTACCTTCCAGCAGCTCCCAAGCGAACGCAGAAGAACAGAAAACATTTTAATCAGCCAGCCAAGTTTTTAAGCTAGCCGTTTAATGCGAAACAAATCCTGACTGATCAAACCGGAAGTTCTTGTTGAAAATACAACACCCGCGTGGAAGAGACAGGCGAGGCAGAGTTTCAGGGCGAGGAGAAGACGCGTGGATATTCAACTAACCAGTCCAGTTTGTCACATTTACTATAAATGGCACCTCCAGGTACATTTTCAAAGCTTTCATCTTTATTAATTATTTATATTGCAACCACTTCTTGAAATCTTTTGATCAAAAGTTAGCGGTAGGGAAAAATTAGTTCGTTGAATTTACTTAAAATTTCGCGATGTTGTAAATTGCGTAACTTGAGTGTGACTAAAGGTTCGAATACTCCAAATAGCAACAGAAGTGTATATGTGATTTAATATATATCACACTGTTTTAACAATTGTTAGTTGTCTCAGAGTACTGCTGTTTATTTGTTCATTTAAATAGTGGAGAGGGTCAATGAAAATGAATGCTCAACTTCATGCGCCATGTGTTGATCTAACTGAAACTCTTTACTATACTATACACTTAAAGTGTTATGCTCTTATCTCCTCGGTTAGATTTTTAGTTCCTGTTCATTGTTGTACTAGCATACTAACATACTTAGCTCTTAATGACGAAAACATAGTTTTTAAAGATGAGAATAGGTAAATATGTAAACGGCAGACACGTTTTCTAGGCAGTGAATAGAATAAATTACAATCTTTTAAGAAGTATTGGTTTATACTGTGTCTTATATTTTAAAGAGACACCACAAGCTCCTTAAAATAGTGCGACACGTAAAATATTTCAGCCACATTTAATCTCAAAAATAAAAATGTTTTAAATCTATCAAATATGCATAAACAGAAACTCCAACTAAGGCAAGAAAACAGAATCCGTTAAGATGATTTTGTAGTCAGTACCCACTACTAACATTTTGGCTCTCCTTCGAACTTTATATTATGGCAGCCAAACAAATACCCTAACAGGGCTCAGTCATGTGTAAAATGCAGACTTTCTCCAACGAACACAACTCTGCAAAACTAGGATTACCGTGTTTTAAGAAATGCTACAATACCCACGATAATAATAATAGCAACATGGCAGGGAGACAACGCACTCCGATGCCAAGCGTATTTCCCGAGGGGGGGGGGGGGTAAACTAGATGGCTGGGACTCACAAGCAGCGACTTCCTCCAGTTTTTTTGGAAGTGAGTCCTAGTCATCTAGTTAAGCCCCCCACCCCCATCCGCGCGTAGCGGCACGGGAATACTGACGGCAGTGGGCATACTTGTAGAAAGAGGTCCGAAATTAACATATCGCTGAGAACCTGATAGAGCATTTGTTTGCCCTCGATAATATTGACTCGTGCTAATTTATTCATTATCACTCTTTTAGTGTGGTAACCTGTAAATATTGTATCAACACAGGTCTCTGGTAGATCTGATACTGCAGATTAGATAGCTTAGCAGTTTTTAAAAGGAAAAACACGAAGTAAGGATGGTGGAAAGGGGGTGGGGGGTTGTGTGCAGCAAAAAAGAGCACAACAATTAGGAGCAAGAAATGGCACAACCGATTAAAGAAGCTCCTGGAAGTACACAAAGTCTTGTCAGCCAGCCTAGGACTGTCATTTACCATGGTGTTCCTGATTTACATGTTTCGGGTCCAAGTCTAAGAACTTAAGGACATGTCCATAGTATTATGAAGATAACCAGGCTTCCATGTCCAGTGTTATGAAGATAACCAGGCTTCCATGTCCAGTGTTATGAAGATAACCAGGCTTCCATGTCCAGTGTTATAAAGATAACCAGGCTTTCATGTCCAGTGTTATGAAGATAACCAGGCTTCCATGTCCATAGTATTATGAAGATAACCAGGCTTCCATGTCCAGTGTTATGAAGATAATCCAACTATCAGAGAATTGAGCACTTAAACCGTATACAGCTGGCAATAGATACTTGACTTAATCACTGGTCAAATATGGGGAATATGTAGGTATGGTTAAGCATTCTGGCTACAGGTTGCTGAGGTAGGGTTCCACATGTTTACCCAAGTCCGTAGTTTTGATGCCATGGCTGCTGAATTAGGTGCTTACCGTAATGCAGCTGTGTATTTTATGCGGAATGCTTTTTGCTTGTGCCTGCAACAATAAGGAAAATGCTTAGTGGCTCAAATAGTTTTATTCAAATGCATTTTGCATCATCACTGCCTGTATATGACCAACTTATTGCAACTACTTCCAGATTGCAATTCTGGTGCTAATTGCCAGTGTTGGCACCTCTTGCGACTGCTTAATGCATTTACTCCAGTGAAGGTCTAGCCTTTCTGTTACTGCTCCTTAAATGTGAAAATTTCAAAACTCATGCTTATTACTTTCTTATCAGGTTTTACTCCAAGAGGCAGAGGTGGGGGCCGTGGTGGATTTGGTGATCGAGGAGGTCGTGGTGGATTCAGTGATCGAGGAGGCCGTGGTGGATTCGGTGATCGAGGAGGTCGTGGCGGTTTTGGTGGACGAGGAGGAGGCCGTGGTGGTTTTGGAGACAGAGGAGGCCGTGGCGGTTTCGGAGATAGAGGCCGAGGTATAAATTGTCATTGTTTGGTCTGTTGTAATTTGATGTTTGTGCATCATATGCTTTGAGCTGTTTCACACACTCTATCCTTACTACGTCTTGTAGCTGCTTTTCTTTTATTCTCTTTCTTATTATCTCTCACTTGACTTTTTCTGTTGCTTTATTTAATGGTTTCAGAAGATATTCTTATTAATTAGACACGTTTTTCCTGTGTGAGTTCCGGATGCTTCATTGTGGAGGAAAAAAGAATAGACCCACTGCCCCATAACAGGTTTGTCGTAAATTGATTATTAGGAGTTTCCCTCGGAGTGAGTGCCTAGAAAGTGAGGAACCAATGGTCTGCTTACAAATAAACAAATCTGTTAAATGGATATCTATGCGAAATACAGATTTTGTAAGTTCAGTTGACGAACATTCTGAATTTTCTTACTTTCATACCTGACCAGGGTCTATAAACGCAGATTTTTTTTTAATCACTATAGATTAAAAAAAAAATTAACCGAGCCATTTTGTGATGGATTATCGTTAGACTAATGTCATTAAAAATGAGAAGACCCGGTAAGCTTCTTAGTCAAGAGCAATAAAACTGTCTAAAAAGATTTCATGAGCATTTGGCACAAACCAAACATTTCTATGACCTCATACAATAAAAATGCACATTACAGTAAAGCAGCTGGCAAAATAGTTCTGAGGGAGGTCAAGAGAATCGCCTTAAATACACTGGTTTTACCCACTTAATGGTCACTCTGAGTCTTCCTCCAAAGAATGGCATAACACAATGTCTGAAACTCTGCACTGACTTAACTTGCCCCCTAAGATGTTATTCTTCTTTGATCACCGGCTGTGTACAACTGTTTTGCTGTTCCCTGTCTCGCGGGCAGATGTATTCTGACTTTGAGGGAAGACGTCAGGCCTATTTCTAGGATGACTGGCCATTGTTTTGTGTGGGTTGAGACGTTACCTGGTTTGTGCGGTGTCCTCTTTGTCCCCTTCTCCGCAGGTGTTGCCTAGCAGTACCCATTTGGGGCAGCCCCTTGTGGAACAGTTAGCCCTCAAGGGAACGCAGGGTCAGATCATAGGCATTCCCCGCTATCCAAGGAGGCTTCCATCTATGCAGAGCCGGCACATGGCGCTCTGGTTCTGGGCTCGCCCAAGGAATCGTTGCGTCCTGCACCTCACAACCGTATTAGGCCTCCCGCTCGACAAGGGCTGCACCCTCCAGAAATCAGCGGGGAGCAGACCACGGGTTCTGGACTATTGTGACCACACAAATAGGTACATTGTTTTTCTTCGCACGTTAGACATCTTTAACTATCCGTCGCGTGTAACATGTTGTTTTCTGTTTGGTCCCAACACTCGGGCGAGTGGGGTCTTTAGATGTGGACATCTGGACTTTTTCCATTTAATGCGATTTGTGATGGTTGGATTTTAAGCTTGCTCGTTTACTGTATGATCTAGTTTTGTCGGACATTTAGGCTTAGTTAGCCTATAGGCTGTTGTTGTCGTGGTGTACCTCAGCACAGTGACAATGACACTGAGTGTTAACAGAGGATGTACATGGGTAGAATTTTGTTGCGAGGTGCCACCCATAGATGTTACTTGTCTGTGCTGCGGGTTAATCTCTAGGTCAAGTGTTGGTTCTCAGTGTTCTCTACACTCCGCAATCTTTTAACCGAGGGTTGTAAATATAGTTGTACATTTGGCAAGCACTTTACTTGTGTACCTAATGAGTTTTGATTAGCTTTTTCACCTATGCGTTTGGTGGGCGGCCTGATGAGAGCCACAAGGACACTTCACTTCTGGTGGCTGCCAAACTCCGAGATCCCCTGACAGCTCTGTTAATGCTCATTTGAGACATTATGGCGCACGACGAGGACGTGCTGCAGGGGTCTTGCGTGAGGTTCCATAAAACCAGAACAGTGAAGGACTGGCGCCCGAGTGACGTACAGAGTATCTCCTTATACACATCACGTTGGACTTAACTTTCACTCATGCCTGTGACAAAAATTACCGTGCCACAATGTTATTGTATTCATGGATCAGACAAGGCTTTCTGTAAGGAACTGACTTACAGTACAAGACTAATGACACAAATAAAAGAGGAGCTTCAAGGCATAAAATATACCCTGTCACAGAAATGCTGATTCTAGTTTTAAGCATGCCTATAAACATTTATATCCGTATTATTATTTGTTCTTGTCTTTTTTTTTCAGGTCGTGGTGGCGGTGGCAGAGGAGGTAAGTTAAAACAGATTTTTAACAGCTTCACATTTTTTAGCTTCTCTGAATTGAAATTTTCTTTTTCACGTACACCAGTTCACAGATCATTTGTATGCAGACTGCCGGTTCCTTGCCTCTCAGGCAGATGCACTTCGCCCTGAAGGAAGCTCCCAATTAGTTGCCTCTTACAACATGCTTATGGTCAAGCAGTGGGTCTATTCTTGTTTTACCTATAATAGGACTCAGAACCTAACAGGGCAGTTAAGATTTTTTTTCCAGTAAATTTTTCTGCTAAGCGACACTGAAGATCCATATCTGTTATACAAATTTTTTACTGAAAAGAAGAAAAATAATAAACTCAAAAACCATTCAGTCAATAGTTAACGCCAGTGATTGAAAATGCCACGTAAATACCATGGTTTCACAGTTAATAATGGAGACCGTCCTTTGTAATGCACTAGGAAACAGCAAAATGTCCATGGTTCACAGTTAATAAGGGAAGCAGTCCTTTGTAATGCACTAGGAAACAGCAAAAAGTCCATGGTTCACAGTTAATAAGGGAGGCAGTCCTTTGTAATGCACTAGGAAACAGCAAAAAGTCCATGGTTCACAGTTAATAAGGGAGGCAGTCCTTTGTAATGCACTAGGAAACAGCAAAATGTCCATGGTTCACAGTTAATAAGGGAGGCAGTCCTTTGTAATGCACTAGGAAACAGCAAAATGTCCATGGTTCACAGTTAATAAGGGAGGCAGTCCTTTGTAATGCACTAGGAAACAGCAAAATGTCCATGGTTCACAGTTAATAAGGGAGGCAGTCCTTTGTAATGCACTAGGAAACAGCAAAATGTCCATGGTTCACAGTTAATAAGGGAGGCAGTCCTTTGTAATGCACTAGGAAACAGCAAAATGTCCATGGTTCACAGTTAATAAGGGAGGCAGTCCTTTGTAATGCACTAGGAAACAGCAAAATGTCCATGGTTCACAGTTAATAAGGGAGGCAGTCCTTTGTAATGCACTAGGAAACAAGCTAAATATAACAATCCACACTTAACTTTAAAGAGTCATTATGATGTCACACTTTCACGTTTAAGCTTTTAGTGACAGGGTCACAGCAGATTTTTTCTTTCAAGATTTTCTTTTCTTCACACTAGTTACGCAACAAGCCTTTTCACACTAGTTACGCAACAAGCCTTCTACTCTTTATTGGACGCACACATTATGAGATACTCAAGAAAACTTTGTCATTTAATTGGATATTCCGCCAGCAGGTTTTACTTGTGTGCTCCAAATGTTTTTCGTTGGTAGTTATACCAGGCATAAAAAAAAAATAGTGTTTAATTCTCAGTTGTGTGTTTTTTTTTGTTGGCTGTAAGATTTCCAGTTTCTGAGACCTAAAGGTTGCAGTTTCTCAAATATCAAAGAAGAAAACAAAATACTAGAATTCTGAACTATTAAGAACTATGGAACCACCCCAAGTCTGCAGATAGTGAGACATTATGTGGAAAATACGGTGGTGTATTTTTGCGTGTGTGGATAAATAACACTGGATAGTTAAAAACTAATTAGAAATGCTCTAGAAATGCACTGTGTTAACCCTTTCTGAAGAAGGCAAGTCTTGAGTCCCAAGGAACGCATCATACGTTTATACGTTACTGCCTAGAAGCCCAATGAACGCATGATGCGCCGATTTTACGTCTCTCTTGACTACCCCTTGGGCTTGTGATGCTAAACCCTCTGGGACTTAGAGTTAAAGCTAACCAAGAGGACAAAATTGAAGTATATCATAACAACAGTATGGAGAGGAGATAGCAGAAGAGACGTTGGTCAGTTTGGTATTTTAGCACTACATGAGAAGACAGCAGATATGATAACAGCACCCATACACACAGATCTGTGTGTAATGGGATTAGTACATTATTATGATTTCACAGTTTTCAAAACAAAACTGATATTTCACTTGTCCTTTATTTTCAGGTCGCGGTGGTATGAGAGGCGGAGCAAAGGTTGCAGTTGAGCCCCACAGATATGAAGGTAAGTAAAAATTCATGTTAATCACCTCATTGTGCCCAAAACCATACACATGTCTGGTGGAAAATTCCGGTTGTTCATCCATTTCAGGACAAGTCTTGCTCCGGAACCGGAGTTTTACATATACACTTATTTTGCAGATCTGGTATATTTGTATGCAGACTGTTAGTTTTTCAGTCAGATGCACTTCGACTTTGAAGGAAACATCCCAAAATAGTCTATTTTGGATGTCTGTTAGGGGTCGCGGGTCTGCTTCTTATTTCCTCTAAAACGGGACACCAGAATACACATACAGGGAGTCTTAAGACAGAAACCTTACCAACACATTTTGGGTTAACCCAGCTCATAAAGATGTATTCAGAATTATCTAGCTTAGAATATCTAAAAGCCTGACACTTTACCCCACAACATAGGACTGTTTACCAGCGCATAGGTAAAATTTGATGATGATAGCCATACATTTCTTAGACCTGTGTTACTGACCATGTCTTATGTTTCTAAACCAGAATAGGAAGAAGGCACTCTCAAATTCTACAGAGTGGCTGTTGTATTTAGCATATTTTCTTTACCCTCTGCTCTGAACTTATGTAAACTATTTTCTTAATTTCCTGTTTCAAAGGTGTGTTTATCGGGAGAGGTGGCAAAGAAGATGTCTTGCTGACCAAAAATTTTGCCGTGGGTGAATCTGTGTATGGAGAGAAGAGAATATCAGTTGAGGTAACTATATTATTGATAAATGGATATTTTACTGAATACATGTTTGGAGTTTTTTTTAAATATCTGGTCTAAATGACACATAACTCTGAAAAGTTGTTTCCAGTAAGGTTTTGCTGATGCAAATTCTCCATTCTGAACAGGGAATCTAAAGGATCCATTGCCCAGCTACTGAGTTACTTGCTTGGTGTCACAACATTGTGTGAGCTGTTACTCAAATACCTGGTTGCTGATAATATTCAGAGCGACGTGTGCTTTTGCAGGTGTGAGGGGCTCAGTGTTAGCACCACTGAAAGCTGCCATACACTGTTTTACTTCATATGTGCAAGCCAGCAGATTTCTTGTTCGACGTTTGGCACATTTTCACTAGTTTTCAAATAGGCGACTAGGACAGTCACATACTTATGTTTCCACTGGCCCAGGAAAGGGCAGTTGGGGGGGGGGGGGGTGTTAGCATTAATTTTAAAAAGTCATCTTTTTTGGTTTCTATCCTCTTGGCAAAATGATCCCTTCCATAGTCTTAAGTAACATATATGCTAACTAGAAAGTTTGCAACAAAAAGAAAAGGATGATAAACTGGCAGTAAGCAAAAGTACTGGCAAGTCTTTATCATCCAACAAACAACTCAATTATTGATTCAGCCAAAGTACTCGAGAAAAGAAACATTAAAAACAGCAAAATTGTTTTCCTTTGTGACTGCATGTCAGTCCTCCAGGTGACTCATAGGGATCCACGAGACAACATGGAAAGAGAACTGACCCGTCAGCTAAACCGACTCACAGAAAACAATTAGATCGTTCTCCATTGGATCCCAGCTCAGTGCGGCATACCAGGAAATGAGTTAGCAGACAGACTTGCAAAAAATGGAACAAATGGGAAACAACAAGCCCATTCATTGTCATTACCAGAAACCAGAACACGTATTAAAGGAAAATACAAGGGATTGTGGAGAGAATAAACCGTAAACATCCACAAGACCTCATCAGCAGACTCAACAGAAAGCAACATACAATTTTCCGTCTATGAACACTGCAGGCTCAACTACCACGTGCGTAAAGTAAAGATTGTGCAGTCCCCACAGTGTGACTGTCAAACAGGACCACAAACACCCCAGCTGACATGCGAGTTCATAGAGGCAACCTGCCTGATGGTCTAAGATAACGAAACCGAATGCAAAGAACAACAAACAACTTTGCCTTTGCGGCACCTGAATAATTGCATACATTTTTAGGGTGAAATTTGAAGTTGATGATAAACTATACTTATTGGTTTTTTTTTAATAGGAGGGTGAAACTAAAGTTGAATACAGAGCCTGGAATCCATTCAGATCCAAACTGGCAGCATCTATAGTTGGTGGTGTGGGAGACATTCACATAAAACCTGGCTCTAAAGTTTTGTACCTTGGAGCGGCATCAGGTACCACAGTCAGCCATGTGTCAGACATTGTTGGAGCGGTAAGTATTATACTCATTGTGTTGTGGTCTGGCTGTTTTGATCATAATTTTCTGTTTAGAAGGAAATGTTTTTCATCCAAAATTCACAGAAGGCTGTCAGATTTTGGTTTTGAGTTGGTAATCCTTTGGCTCAGTACTATGGTGTAAACAGGCACAACACATTTTAGTCACTTGGATGAATGAAAAAAAAGAAATGCTCATCACTCATTACCAATTTCCACTTCTACGGTTATATGTTATAAGAAGGACAATTTTGCGATCCATTGCTTGATGGGCAGTAATAACTATTGTCAGTCCATGTTCTCCTATGGCAGCCTCTTGCTTTCACTTCAGAGCTTTTCATGTTACGGCATAGTTGTTCTGGCTGCCTTGTAATTACTGGGGTGGAGTAGACCTAACCATCCCACATATTTATGTTTCAGAAGATTAGTAATTATGGATTTGCAGAAGTTAGATGCAGATGTCACAGCTACCTATAAGCACCTACCACTCTTTGAGGGGTGAACACAGATGAGGTAAATTGCCATATTGTTTCTGCAGTTTGTTTGCATTGTTGCACACCTTGAATTACTTTTTTTTTATTTTTTAGGAAGGTCTAGTCTATGCGGTTGAGTTCTCACACAGGAGTGGTCGCGACCTCTTGAATGTAGCCAAAAAGAGAACGAACATCATTCCTATCATTGAAGATGCCCGTCACCCACACAAATACAGAATGCTTGTTGGTGAGTAGATGTGACCATATGGAGGGGGTTTAAATTAGAATATTACATCAATTTTGATTAAACTGCTTGGTTTTTTTTCCAGTTTATTTAGAGGAAAAGGTTATTATACTAACCTGCACTGCATAAATGGTTACTTTAACCCCTTTTCTCTTTGTTATCTCTTTTACCGGATGTAGTCTTCACTTGAAAGATAACCCTGTTCCTCTAGGTTTCTATGTGAGAAAGAAAAGAAGCAAAGTGCTTGTTTTGTGTAGGTAATTTAATACCAGGTCTGCAAGCTGCCTACTGCTGGCTTCTAAATACATGTTCAGTATATGGAAGTGAAGGGTTAACAGTCGTGACGAGGCCTCATTAGATTGTGGGGAATACTTAACGTTCTGGACCAACCAGATTTGGGGCACCACCGGTGACCTAGCAAGCAAAGACATAACAATGATACTGCAGTGTCCCACAAAATTAATTGGGAAGGCTGACCTTGTCCACTAATGTCTGCAGAAGTCGGATATGGTGGCTTAAAGGCGCAAGTGTTGCAGTCATATTGTAAATGAGTACGATACAGTACACTTCAGACGAACACAGAAGCTCTTTCAGAACAAGAATTTTGCATGTACATCTATTTTTACATCATGAGCTGATTATTTTAACTCTTAAACTCAGCATTTTTCTTTAAAAATTAACACATTTTATGTTTTTTTCCCTGTAGGTATGGTGGATGTCATATTTGCTGATGTTGCCCAACCAGATCAGGCAAGAATCGTGGCTGTAAATGCTCACAGTTTCCTAAAGAATGGAGGCTATGTAGTCATATCTATAAAGGTGAGACATACTCAGTGGGTTGTATAATTATACATATTTAAGTAACCTTATTGGCAGTGACAGGGAGCAGAGAAAGAATAAGTTTCCTTGCTAATATTGTCAGTTGTAACCATAATTAACCTTCTTGCCACAAAAAGGCTGGTTTTGGTGACATAACATCTTTGGGCAGTGGCCAGTACTTATTGGTACTGGTTGCAGCTGCAAATGTATAAACGCGGTGGGTATGATTATATATATCTTTCGTCACTTTTTTATAAAGACTGACCAGGACTCAAATATCTATTGCTTCTTCAGTTTCTTATGGTAGAATTTCAGAGAATTAAATAACGATGCATTTCTGTAAAAAGGAAATTTACAAGTCTTGATAGTGTTACTGATGCTAAATTTGGTGCATGTCTAGAAAACTGTTACCAGTGTCACTAGAAAGCCCTTTATCTTATACCCGCTGGGAAAACGTAGGAGGGATGGGATACCCATTAGCATTCTGAGATTAGTATTGTTAAATGAGGGATAAAGACTTAAAGTGTAGAGGAGTTGATTCAAAGATTGTGTGTGATTTGTTAGTAAACTTTTGTATTTTCCATTGACAGGCTAATTGCATCGATTCAACAGCCGAGCCAGCAGCTGTCTTTGCTGATGAGGTGGAGAAGCTGAAGCAGGAGAAAATCAAACCCCTGGAACAGTTGACTTTGGAGCCCTATGAAAGAGACCACGCAGTTGTGGTTGGCAAATATAGGTAAGTTCAGACATTTCAAAAATCCTTCTAGTCGCTTATTTAGAAGGATGAGATGGATATACACGGCTACTGGTACCATCAATCTTTGCTTGCTGCTGAAGATGGAGACTTATGAGAGTTTTCTGAGTGCTGCGATGTTGATTCCTAATTCAACATTTGGCTGTCTTGCCTGTTACTGGTCGCTGCGTGGACATTGAACTAACATTCCTTGGCAGGCTAAGATAACTACTATTGTTTAGAAGTATAGACTTGATTATACTTACTAAAACATGTGGAATGTTACTGTTTAAATACATACTTATCACTCATAATTTGCCTGCTGCTTAGCAACAAGAGTGTTCATTTTGGGGGAAGGTTCTTGGCTTTTCCCTACCAAGAATCTAAGAGTTAAGTTGTATGACATCATCGCATCTTATTCTCTTTTTGTATATTTGTGCTTCCAGTGTCACTTTCATTTCCAACTTGGTCTGTAAATCATTTCTCCATGTGGTATAACTGGAAGCACTTAAATGCCCGAACTATATACTATTTAACTGCTGTTTAGTGCTCTTCATGTGACACATATATATATATATATATATATATATATATATATATAAAAAATAAATGTATATATATATATATATATATATATATATATATATATATATATATATATATATATAAATAAATAAATGTTTATGTATGCATAATTGCTTTTTGTCTGTTTACAGTCAAGCTGTGATTTTCGTGCCTCTCTGTCGGACTCTGTGATTTATCCTTTGTATAGTTGCAGTGTAAAACCTTTCTATTAAGAGTACAAACACGTGGCAGTCAAAGCTTGTATGGTTTCCAAAACAATAGTCTGGGTTAAGTTCCCTTTGCAGCATTGGGAACTGGTTTAAAACTAGACTGAATAACAACTGTTATGTAAAAACCACCTTGAACTGAGATGTTGGTGTAGGTCCGTATTGCGCTAGTGCTGCTGCCCTGAACTGTGCTGGTTGGGATGCATGATCTCTTGCATGAGAGTCACACATTGCAACCCATCATGGTAATTAAATAATTACAGATATACCATTATCTAAACTGTTGGTGTGTGACAGAAGCATTTAAACAGGACACATATCAAGTATGCCATTCCCATTTATTTATCATATGATGATAGAACACACTGCATTTTGGTAATTTTGCACTAATTAAACATTGTGTAAAAAGCATTTTATCTGTGAATAAGCACTAGAGAAAATTAACATTTACGCCTAAAGCAACTAAGCACTAGAGAAAATTAACATTTACCCCTAAAGAAACTAAACACTAGAGAAAATTAACATTTACGCCTAAAGCAACTAAGCACTAGAGAAAATTAACATTTACCCCTAAAGCAACTAAGCACTAGAGAAAATTAACATTCACCCCTAAAGCAACTAAGCACTAGAGAAAATTAACATTTGCCCCTAAAGCAACTTGCGGATGTAAGTTGTGAACTAAAGACACTGTAGATTCTCGAGAAGACCATGGACCACAAAAAAAAAAAAGAAATAGTGCCGTCCTCAAAGATTCAACCATCAAAGAATACTGGTCCATAAAAGTGTTTCGGAAACCTGAAATGTACATAAAATGTCACTGGATTGAAAGAGCAGCATAGGACTCGGCGCAGAGCTGATCAGGACAGCTGTATGAAGCAGGGTACCTGGCAAAAAAGAGACTACTCATTTCTCAAACATAGATTTAACTACTTATCAAAGTTTTTTTTAAAATGTCTGCCTCTTGCCTTCAACTTGCCCATACTTTATGGATTTTATCAGATGGTTGTCCCATGTGAGTACTGAAGCATCATTGTTAGGGACAGTGTAACACCCAGCTGCCTAACATTTATGTTGTAAGATACAACTAATTAATTTTTTTTAATGAATTCCAATGTGTGGGGGCGAAAGGTGCATTTATCGCAGCCTGGAATGCAGGCATCACCACAGGTTACCCCTTAAAGGTTAATGCACAATAATAAGACATTGTCTCTTGGAACATTGCTGCTATATTTTAGTTATTTTGCACCTTGTTTCAAAAACAATCTCATATTTTACATTCTAAGCAGAACCCTTTTCTTCTTAAAAATCTTTTTTATTTCTGTTCCTTCAGTCTGTTTTCCTTTTTCTGTTGTTGCTTCCATTCGTTATAACTTTGTGTTAACCTATTTTTGTTGTTGCTTCCATTCGTGTTACAATTTTGTTTTCTTTTTGTGTTTCAGACCGCCACCCAAGAAGTAATCTAGGAAGGAAGCAGTCTGCAGTTACCTGTATTTGTTTATGCCATTCATGTTTTAAAATAAATTTTCATTCATTGCTGTAAGCTTCAATTTTCTGGAGTTTGTCATTGAATTAGCAAGATGTAGACACAAGTTGGATGGTAAAAATAAAATCCTGCTTAAAATATGTGACACGAAAAAACATGCAATAAATGTCTTGATTAATAAGAAAGCTGTTTGGAAAATTGTGTGTGCTTTATCCTTGCTTGGATGTGATGTGTATAAATTAGAAATAGCTGCAGAAAAATTATGGTTGTGAGACTAAAATTAAGAAAATTTGGAGCTGAACTTATGTGAAATACATGGAATACAAAATTCAGTTAACAAATTGCTTGACAGGAAATTAAGACTTTGATCCTATAGGATGGATAAAAAAAAAGGAGGTAGATCTAGAAAAAGTAATTATAGAGAGGAGAAAAGGACTACAGCTGGATTAAATATGTGTTGGTTTATACAAGTCACTGACCCAGTCTTAATAGGGTACTAGGTCAAAGCCCTGGCACTTTAGGACAGACAGTATGTTGGGGGGGGGGGGGGGGGGGGGTATTCTTAAAAACTCTTCCCCCTACTCGTGCATGCATGGTAGTTGTACTATTCTTTGCCACTGCCCAGCTCGCTAGTGGCTAAACCGGACTATGTGGTGTGAGTGACGAGTGGTCGGGGGTGGGCAGAAAAGCCACATTTCTCCCAGATTTATTATGGTATTTATCATGGAATCAAGGCCGAAGGGTTGCGATATCCATAATACCGAGCCTAAGGGTTAACAAATTATGGCTTCTGGACGCTTAAAAAAAACACTTTGCCACACCGCGTTATTAAAGCAACATAAGGTCAGTTTCGCCTCAACTTCCAGACATTTTTGTATATTTAAATAGAATAATTATCCTGATAAATAACAGCAATTGTAAAATGTATGGATTTTCCTGGCACACAGAGGTGCAGGACCATGCGTGATGCTCCAGCACCAGGGCTCGGGCTGAAATATATCTATACGTGTTTATGTGTGCTGTGTCTATGAGTCTGCTTACCTTTTTTTTAGGGGGAAAAGAAGCTAAGCATGGTTTGGCTGCAATGAAAGTGATTGCTGCAGCAAACTGAGCAGCGTCAATAATATCTGCTATAACAGGGTCTGGTCGTTTCTGTTTTTGAGTATGCGATGGCGATCCTGACTCTCAACCATAAACAGATGGAAGGGATAAAGAACGAGGCTAAGCGCATTTTACTTGGATGTACAAGAGATGCGGCATGTAGGGCGATGCACTACCTTCTCGATTTTCCAACCATGGAGGACAGAATTCAAATTTGCCGAGCAAATGCTTACCCAAGAGTCAACGCAGACACACGACACCCGCTGCATGGTGAAATTAAGAAGACAAGAGGCAGCAGGTTAGAAATAGGAAAACCGTGAATGGTTCAGGTCAAGGACATTGTTCAGCTGGTGTGTTCACTTGACGACATAGAACTTGGTAAGGAATGGAAACAAATAAAGGAGTGCTGTGCCACCTTTTCTGTTTGCATCCGACTAGACAGAAAATGCGGGGGAAAAGTCCAGCCGCTTTTAATGCAGAGGTGCAGGCTTTGATTTTCGAGAATTCTCTACAGGGGAAGCTGTCACAACACAGATGGGTCGGTAATTCGCCATGTGAGAAGCGCTTGGGTTTTTACAACTCAGTTTGGAGTTAGAATTGTGAAGCAAGATTCTGGTGCTGTTGCCTTGACCACAAGTAGTCTAACCATGGAGGTCATGACAGTGACCAAAGCAAAAACATGCCTGGAGACACAGACCTTTTCCCGCGCATGCTTTCTCGGTGACTCGATGAGTATGCTCAGGAAGATGGAGTAGGACTGAGTTCGAAGACAGTGGTTGGAGTCTCGAACGGTCGAGGTTGACACATTTCTGTTTCATATGTGTGCCATGGCTGATGGGCTTGCAGGTGAAGCTACTGTGGAGGGCAGACGAGCAATGGATGACGCTGATATGCTGAATGCTCTACAAGAAGTAAGACGTTTACGAGAACCAAGTGATGATTGTGAATCTGCAACCATGACCCGACTGCAAGAACAAGATGTTAAGGGCGGTGTGGCCAGACAAGAGCACTATGCAGAAAGCCAAAGAAGAATAAGAAATCAACACAGAATTGGTGTTGTGACCTGCTGCTGCGCGCTGCGGATTTTACTGAAGGGGGTCAGTACACTTAATAAACTGAATGTTTCGATGAGCAATGAGGAAAATCTGTCGACTAACTGACTGACTATATACATCGTACATCATGTGGAGAAAGTGGTTGTACGTATAAATGTTGACTATAAACACCTAGGACCTCATGATGCGAAGAAAGTAGTTTAACTCACTATTGTTGACTGTATATCTCATGGTGTGGTTAAAGGTCTCTTTTAGGACCACTTTCCACAGCTTCAGGTGTTTTTTGTGTATATTTTATAGACTAATTAACACTCTGTGTGGGATGTGGTCAACACCACGTCCGCCGCTTTTACTTCCCATGACTTTAGCTGGTACCTATTTATAGATGACTCAGCTTGAGAGCGAATATCATTTTTGAAAAAAAAAAAAAAAAACCCAACTTTCCAGCTAATGGGTCCTTTACTTACCTTTAAGGATTGTATAACTCGAGATTTGGAGGAAGGTATTTTATGTTACTTACGTTTGCTAGTATGTATCCCTCACCTTGTGGTGAGGTGAAGGGTCCTTTTCTTGCCTTGCTATATAACTTATGTTGTGAAGGAAGGATCTAAAATACATGTTATGGCTATGAACTCTACACGTATTGATGGAGAGAAAAGTTTTTTCATGACTTACTTTTGCTAGTGTATATATATATATATATATATCCTATCAAAACTTTACGCCGCAGAGAAAGGTCACCTAATTATCTCGGATGCCCACATACATCCTCACAGTGCAAAGAAACACCCTTTACAAGTACCTATAGTCTTTGCTAGGGCAGTTCATAAACTGATTGCGACTGTTCATCAGACCAGGACATTTGCGGATTTAAAGAGGATCTGTGAAGCAGCAGATCTGGACATCTGTGTAACCTGCATGGTTTAGGTGGCAGGCTTGGGTTTGAGTATGGTTGTTGTTTGTCCACTAAGAAATCTACCGGTTGGAAAAGTTTGCTGGACTTGCCTTGTGCGACGTTGAAAAGATTTACTGACTGCATAGTGACCGTTATGGGAATGGCCTTGTTGGTTGTGTTATAATACGTGTTTGTTTCCTCCGGTGATGGATGCAGTGAGGTTAAAAGATCATTACAGTGAGAGTATTCTTCGTCGCTATCAACATCTGCGTTGCTGTAGACGTGCTGTGCATGGAGGATGTTGGTGCTGGATGACGCGGATGTTCTGCCATTTTCTACAATTGTCTCAGACGCCAGAGAATGACAATCTGGCCTTGCCATGAGTAAATCGCTAGCGGTGGGAATGGCAACAGAGTAGTACTGATGTCCTCCATTCAACATAACTTTGGCTTGTGTTTGAGATTGGGAATAAATCTTTCCATAAATGTAACTGTACAATTTATTCCATCTGTGAACTAGAAACATCACTGTGGCTACAAAGAAAACAAGAAACACAAACACAAAGCAACCAGCCACAATGTAACAGACGATATTAATAAAACTTTCTGATCGTGGTCTTCGAAAAATTGACTGAGAATGTGCGGGATATCCAAAGGAAAACGTGAAATTAATTTTTGGACTATAACACTGGCTTGCAGAGCAGAAACAGATTCCAGTGTCTTTTGGAGTACCCCGAGGTATGTCAAACGAAACAGATCTTGTCGTCGAAGAGAAATTGTGTACTTTCTTAGAGGTGTGGCACACAACTAGAACTGCATTCACCACTGGGTTGCTATCATTAACTCTACATTCAGATGTTTTAAGACTCTTCCAATCGTCTATAACGAGATGCTTTAAAGGCATTCCACTGTACGTGAAGTAGACTGAAGGGACAAATGTATCAACCAGTAATTCTGCATTAACGGTTTTGTTTGGAGCAGAACCACCAGGCATATAGTTAACCTGACAGCGTAGTGACCCTACGCCTGGGCTGTTTTGAATTTCGACTGAGGACTGAGACGTGTAGAAGCCAGCGTCGACAGAGTGATTTGTGGTCGTATTACTGATAAGCGTTGAATTTTTAAACCAAACTAAATTAGTTGCATGTGGCAACCAGCGGGATGTGCACAAGAAGCGTAGCGTTTTGTTGTTTTTCTCGCAGTCGGGGCTTGGCTTAATATACACTTCTGGGTTCCCGGGAACTTGAACCTCGTTTGTGTAAATAGGATGTGCACTTGTATTGTTAACCAGGTCGTTAATACCTAGACCAGGATACAGTTCTACTTTAAACCTGAAAACTCCTGGCTTAGAGAGCTTAGTAACCAGGCTACACTGAGCGTTACGATAACCCCTAGTACTGCTTTCTTGAAAATTATAGTTTGTATTTGTTAAGGGTAACTCTTTATACTTGTCAACTTGAAAAAATTTGCAGGCAATTCTAGGAAAAACTGTCCTTACTGAACACAAAATTTCAACAGTAGAATCTTCAGGCTCGTATACAGCTTTGCATGTGGGGGTTTTCGGGGGATGTACAATATCTGACATGTTCCACGACTGAACAACGTATGCCCAGTCTTTCTCCTTCTCGTACAGGGTACAGTTGAATGTCATGAATCTTTCGCTTTGAGATATCTTCAGTATGGTCAGTGAGGTGTTGAAATGTGTATCGTTAAAGCTAGCATTGACAACGTATCTGCTGGAGTCATAGTTGATGCAGTTCACTTCTGTTGAATGACAAATTGCCTGGTTGACTATTCCAGCGCCGGGCGAAGTGGTCATCCAGAACAGGCTTCGTCTGTGTGACAGGAAAATGACAGCACACATTTTAGCAACAGACTGACTTTACAAAACAGCAGTTTTTGGAACTATGTCTAGAGTTCTTATG